GGGGACACAAACCACGGGCGACTACGTGGGAGTCCAGCGACATAGCCATTGCGCCAACTGCTGGTTCCCCCACCGTGATTATTCTGGTAACCTAGTCAGTTACTAACCTGGCTATTTTCAGACTGTAATATATTGTAATTGTATTAGTGTTTTTTTTTTTTTAGCTTCCCTCTGCCTTAACTATTGTGGCACATCTTGGTGCTTCATAAAATTAAGCCAAAACTTTTGCAAAATTAGGGTCCATTTTATACTCTGTGAGAATAATTTATGGGCTTACTAAAGGCTTTTCCCACACCAAAAAGGTCTATTTCCCCTCTGATTTGTGCTAAGTTAAATGGGTTTATTCTTTTTTTAAAAAAGATTATTTTATTTAACTTTATTTATTTTTAGTTTGACCAGAGAAGGACAGAGTGTGGGGGCGAGTGAGAAAGGAAACTGCTAGGTCTGGGACTCGAACCTCAGTCGGCCATGTGGGAGTCCAACGCCCTTAACTACCACATCACCTGCTGGCCCCTCAAACAGCTTTCTAAGAAAGCCTATTCCACAGGCATTCATGCATAATTTGTAGGTAAAGTATTAAGTAAAGGTCAGTTTACTAAAAATGGAAAAACAAAAAACATCAGAACAGAAAGCAGAATATAATTAAAGTAGGGGAAAAGCACACCCCTCAGTGGGACCTGGTCACGCTGCAACCCTTTTCCTCTAATTCTCTGTTTTCCTTTGTAACTGCTGTGCTACAATACTGGCTCCAAAATAGTTACTAAAAACATTTTACGGGGGACCAGCAGTTAGTGTAATCGCTGTCGCTGGACTCCCATGTAGTCTACCGCGGTTCGAGTCCTGGACCCGGTGGCTTAAACTCGGACCGGGCGTGTGTGCGTGCATGCTCAAGATCCCGAGAGAATGCAGGAGAAGGGATTGTGGTGTGACCATCTCCCTAGGGGGTGATTTCTCGCTTTCTGTCTCTGTCTTTCTGGTGAGCAAACGTGCCCCATAGGAAAAAACCTCTACAAAAAAAAAAATTTACGGGACTAGCTGCTGTCGGGGGGGTGAAGGGGGC